AAAAAAAAAAAAAAAAAAAAAAATCCAGAAAGCTTCACAGAGCAAACCTTGAAGTTGAAGTTGTCACACCCTGAGCGCTCGGCCAGCAGTGACGTGTGTGCCCTGCACGCCCGGGAGGCGTCATTCAGAGCTGGGCTTCGTGGCTGGGCCCGGTCTGTGTCCGTCTTACCCTCACGCGAGGCAATGTGAATTTACAGTGCACCCACCATCGGGGACTTTGAGCCACCAGCAGAGGACCAAAGAAACTCTGAGGGTGCACTAGGTTATGTGCAGATCCCGCTTTCTGTATAAGGAACTCAGTCAGCTACAGACTTTGACATCGGCAAGGGCTCCCGGAACAAAGGCCCAGTGAGAGCCAGGGAAGAACCAGGAGGCAGGACTTGGGGTGGGGGAGTGGCTCTGTACAGACGGTGTGATGTGACACGGCATTGTAAGTGTACTCGGTGCCACAACTGCGCACTTAAAAATGGTCAAAGTGAGCCGGGTATGGTGGTGCACGCCTGGAATCCCAGAGCTCAGGAGGCTGAGGCAGGAGGATCACTGTGCGTTTGAGGGCAGCTGGGCTACATAGTGAGACCTTGTCTCAAAGAAAAAAAAAGTTAAAGTGGTACATGTTACACTATGTATATTTTACCATAAAAGCAAAGAAAAAAAGCAATAAAGCAAATAGTTACTTTGTAGTGATAAATGTATACCTACATGATGAATAAACAGCAAAAATAAAAACGGACAAGCCGGTAAATAAAGTAAAAGCATGAAAACCAAGTAAAAGAGTGGTCACAGAGGAGGAGTCCAAAGGGTGTGGCAGAGCTCAGCTTTCTAGTACTGACAAGTGTCCCCGCAAGGCAGAGGAAGCAGAGGCTTCTCAGGGGAAGGTGGACACAGCAAAGGAAATTCGTTAGCAGGAAAGGGCTTGCTTTTCCTCCGAGGAAGGGCTGTCACACAATACATGTGCGCTCTTGGTCACCGCAGGACAACGGAGAGCACAGTGAAAATGCAGTTGTGCAGCTGTTAAGATGCAGGAAAATAACAGCAGGTGAGGCAAGAAAGCTAAACCCGCCCACGGTCCTGAATCACATCGTTTAGATACAGTGAACTCAACCACACACTAACAGTTCTACTACAATGCCTAAAGGAACAGAAGTAGAATCTATAACTTTTAAACTAACAGAGACATTGTGTTTCAATGGAGGTAAAAAGCTGAATATAGGAAGGGGAGAAGGTAGCAAGTGGAACAAGTAGAAAGCACACAGTAAGGTGGTGAACAAAACCCAGATCGTGTCTGTGACCTCACAAATGCACATGGGCTACAAGCTGAGACATAAGACTGCCAGGTGATTGTGAGAGATCCAAGATGCGGGGCACAGGTGCCAGCCAGAGAGCGCAGGAGGACCGCTGTGCTGCCAGCTAACTGGACTACACGGCAAGGGGTGTCCTGGAGTCAGAGGGATTATACCAGACCTCACTCATAGGTGGACCTAAGAATTCGAACAAGTGTGTTTGTCTACACTGTGGTCATCCACTTTAGCGCGCCAAGCAAACACTGATGAAGCATTCGGAGAGCCTGCCCAGGCCACCGCTGCGCAGTCTTGGCCTCGTCGGAATCAAGCCTGAGGAGAACTGAGCAGGACTCAGGTGCTGTGCACACGCAGGCCAGCTGAGTGTGCTGTGCGTGTGTGCGCGTGGGAGCGGGAGGTCAGGGTCTCTGCGTGGCCATCTGCTGAAGGACCAGGCCTGGCTGATTCGCAGTTCTAACAAGCTTCTCAACCTGGCAGTGCAGTGGGGTCAGAAACCATTTTTTAAAAGATAACCACAGAGCCCAAAGTCTTGAAAATGAGAAACTGCCTCCTAAGGAAGCCCCAAGTCAAAAGTGTAACTGTAATGGGCATTCAAACTATGAGAACTAAAACATAGGGAAAGTACTCCTCATCAGCACGGGTGGAATGCGGTGAAAACAGTACTGCAAGAAAATTTATGACCTTCAATGTTTACATCATAAAATAAGAGAAGCTGAAATTAAAGACTGAAACATTCTGCTTGGAAACAACTCCAAGAAAGCAAAGGAAGGAAATTATAAAGATAAGAGTGGAAATTAATGAGACAGAAAACAAAAATGTAACGGAAAGTATCGACAGAGTCAAATTCTGGTCATTTTAAAACATGCTAAATTGGTACAACTCTGTGAGCGTAAAAAGAGACAAAGACCAGGCATGGTGGTGCACACCTGTGACCCCAGCACTCTGGGAGGCTGAGGCAGGAGGATCACAAGTTTGAGCCCAGCCTGGGCAACATAGAAACTTAGAAAGACCCTGTCTCAAAATAAAAAATAAAAGGAAAGGGGAAAGTAAGCTACAATATGGGCAAATTGGCCACAGACCCAACAGAGCAGGAGCTGAAAGATCAAGGACAACCTCACACCTGCACGTTTAAAAATGGACAAATTACCAAAAGCAACTCAGAAAGGGCAGCCAACTAAGTAGCCCTGTACCTATTAGTAAGAATCAGTACTAGGAAAGCTTTTCCAAAGAAAGCATCAGGCAGACTGAGGATGTGTCTGAGTGGCACAGTGCCTGCCTGGCAAGCACGAGGTCCTGAGTTCGATCTCCAGTATAGCCTGGTATGGTGGTGCTTGCCTGTCATCCCAGCCCTCCAAGAGGCTGAGGCAGGAAGGTCTTGTGTTTGAGCCCAGCCTGGCCAACCTAGCAACTTTGTGAGATGCTGCCTCAAAATAAAAAGTAAGCAAAGGGCTGGAGATATAGCTCAGTGCAAAGGCCCTGGATTCAAGCCCAGTACTGTAAAACAAACAAAGCAACAAGACCCCCTCCCCTCAAAAAACAAAAAAGAATCGAACCCCAGACAGCACATTGTATACAAGGGTACTTACTACACAGGGTCCGGTTGGGCTTAATATAGAGGTGTGAGGCTGGTTCCAAATTTCAAACCATTCATCATGTTCACCATCACAGATCACTGGAAACTTCCATGATCATCTCCGTAGCTGCAGAGGAAGCATCAGCTAGACTTCACTTCATAATGAATCACTGGGGAAAGATCTGCACTGGCCAGGGTCATGGGCAGGGCCCTCGGGTCCGCTGGCAGCAGCTGGCCTGGTCTCTCTGCTCGGCTGCGGGTTGGCACAGAAAGCTGCGGTATGCGGGGCACGTTCAGTCTCACCAATTCCCAGAGATGGGAGTCAGCGTCACACAGGAGCTCAGCCTGGTGGATGGACCCGACCCCAGCCACGTGCCTGACTTGCTGCTGTGATGGGCGGACGTGGGCAGGTCCTGAGCTCCCGCCTGCCCTCCTCCAGCACAGAGGGGGTGCTGTCCCTGTCCCTGTGAGCTCACCCCGACCTGGCTGCCTGCAGGTGTCCTGTGCCACGTCTGCATGTCACATCACGGCCTTGTGGTGCCCTGTGCCACTGGACACAGGGTCATTAGTGCCTGGCATCTTGTCACATGAGGGAACTGCTATGCCCCATGTGGCCCGGCTGTGTCCCCCAGGTCTCTGTGCTGGCGCAGGTGGCCACACTGATGTGGGGGAGTCTAGAGGCAGGGCCTGGCAGGAGGTGGTTGATCCCTGAGGTGCCACTCTCGCCAAGGTCCCATCAGTTCCTGAGAGAGAGCAGGTGGTCATCAGAGAGGTGCCCCGACTCCACACGGGGGCTTCTCCATGCACACGCTCCCACGGGGCCTGCCCACCACTGGCCATGCCAGACCCTCCTACACACCAGCTTGGGACATCTGTGTCTCTACCAGTGCCTGCCTCAGGCACCTCGTCATAGCAACAGAGCCACAGGGATGTGAGAACCCATTCCAGAACCCTGGAGTGATGGAGAGCTCCTCTGCAAGACTTTCCTCTGGTGCAGCCAAGGGGTCACCCGGAGGTGCCAAAGCGTAGGAGGCGTCAGGGACAGATTTGCCCTGAAGAACTGACTTACAAGGATCACTGGGGCTAGGAGGCAGGTCCAATACCTGCCGAGCAGGCGGACCATGGGCAGACTCTGCCTCACCCTTCGATGTTGCCCCAGGAAGCCGCCTAGACCCACTGCCTCCAGGACTAGGGCCTGTGCCCATGCCCTTAGCTTCCCTCCACTCACACTTTTGGTCACTTAACCTTAGTGTCTCTTGCCGAATGTGCAAGCTGAGGATTTCCCAAGTCATACAGGTGTGGGCCTTGTTGCTGAGAGCTCTTTCCTCAGTAAATATCTGGCCCTCGTGGCCACCGACAAGCGTGGGACATGGAGAAGCAGGCCGCACATCCACAGAGTCCAGCCCAGGGCAGAGGTTGGAAGAACAATGCCTACACCCAGGCCCTGCAGGGTGGTCCTTGCTTCCTCCAGTGGTCAACCACACCTCTCACAGAGCTCTTTCCTTCCTTTTTCTTGTGTATCTATTATCGACGAAAGGCACAGAAGGTGAAACCCAAGAGAGCCCCCTTTACCACTGGCCCTAACTCATTTCCAGGCTAGTGAGGAAACACATGGCCTGGAAGGAATCTGGGCCAGCGGAAGGGGGCAGCAGTTCCCCTCATTAAGAACTCTGTCAGCAGACAAGACCCCAGGAGCCCCGTCTGGACCTGGGAGCACAAAGGTGCCACCTGCGCTAATGCGCATCTGTGCAGAAGGCCCGTGTGCCCAGGGAGAGCAAGGCGGGTGCAGGCAGAGCCCCCACTCTGCAGAAGCGCACAGGCAGAGTGCTGAGGAGCACCCCTCCCCAGGCTTGCGTCACGGACATGTGTACCATCTGGCCACACCCCACACCTGGGACCTTCACATCGTCAGGTCGAAGCCGTCAGACCCTTGGCTCCCTGCTCTCGCTGACCCCGCTCCTTCTTCCTGACTGCCCGTTTCCACCATCCATCTGTCCTCTGCCGCCTGTCTGAGGCCATCTGGGTTTTTACAGGGACCAGGGGGAACATTCTTGGCTCTGCCCGCTGTTTCAGCTGAAGCCACTGCCACACATCCAGCTCCAGTGAAGGCAGCACCCGCCCAGGACTGGATCGGCGTCCTGTGCTGCGTGGCCCCTCAGGAGTCTTTGCCTGGACTCACATCCGGTTTTCATGGCAAATCCTGGCAGGGAGCAGGGCTGGGCTGGGACCGCGCAGGACCTGCTGGTGCCCCTCAGGGCTGAGCTGGCTCCCGGCTGGCAGACCGTGTCCCACCCAGCTCTGCTCAGGAACAACCCAAGGTGTCCCCGTCCTCACAGGCCTATGCTGCCGTGTACGCTGAGGTTCAGAGGAGGCTTTGATTATCACAGAGGCTGCTGTGGTGTCCCCAGAGGCCCACATAGGTGAGGCCCGGCCTTCAGGGTGGAACCTTTTAGGATGAGGCCCGGGAGGCCCTGGTATCAGTGGGAGCCCAGCTGGTTCTCATGAGGCCGCAGTGGCCCCCAAGTCCGGCCCGTCAGCTCCTCTCTGCTTGCTATCCCTAACCCTAACCCTGCAGCAGAAGGGCACCGTCAGCATCCGCACCAGAGCCAGAGCGCGGTAGGTCATGTGAACATGAACTTTTGGGGGGGTGGTTACTGCAAATAAAACTCAGGTCCTTGTGCTTGCGAGGCAGGCGACAGAGCCACTGAGCTAGGTCCCCAGCCCCTTGCACATGAACTTTGATGCTCCAAAATCATGGCCTAAATAAATCTGCTTTCCTCACAAGCAGCCTGTTTTGGGTGTTTCTTTGTAGCATCCAAAAGCTGATGAAGACTGAGTCCTTGTAAGACAGGCATGGGGCTCAGGCCAGAGGGCCGGGTACATGGGCACCTCCTGAGCAGTGGTGTCCAGGAGCCAGTGCTGTGGCCTGAGGCAGATCTGGATTAAGTCCCTGCTGTCTGAGGCTCCAGGACCTCAGTGCCAGCCCAGGCTCGGGCTGCAGTGCTGGCTTTGGCCTCTGCCAAACCCACTGTCCCCAGGACTCCATATCTGTCCTTGAAATTTCAGGTAAAAAGTGCCTGCCACTGACCAGCAGGCCACATCCATGTCCAGCAGCAAGGCTCTGCTCCAGCCCCTGCAGCATTGGAAGGCCTGTGCGGGGACCTTGGGGCTGGTGCCCTCCCCGCAGCCATGTACCTGCCTTGGCCCTGGTCCTTTGACAGAGGTCTTCAGCACCGGGAGCTCCCAGGGTAAGCACTGTGTGAGGAGCCTGGTCCCACAGTGTACCCTGCGTATACCACGGGGCGCACATCAGGTCGTATTGGGAGGTCACCATGGTGGTCTGGGAAGTCAGCTGTGCCCACTGTGCCCTGATGATAGTGGCCCCCCAGAATCCCCGGGAAGGGAGAGGGAGGTTTCACTCGCTTGCCTGGGTGCGGCTGAGGCCTCTGCCTGCCAGGTAGCTCTACAGATCGGGGTCTCTCAGGGCCACTGGCCTGCAAGCTCCTGGCCAGGCCCCCTGGTGGTGGGCAAGGGAAGAGGGGTGCGGGCTGCACCCCAGCATCTGCATAGAGGAGCTGTGCCTCGAGCAGCCACCAGTCCCAGGCAGAGAGCTGCTCAGCTTTGACGGGGGTGCTGCCCAGCACGTGCTGCACCAGGAGGCCCAGGGCCCTTGAGCCCCAGCCGTCACCACCAGGGCTGCCACCTGCCTCTGCCAAGACAGCACGCTTGCTGTCCCCAAGCTGTCAGCAGCCAGTGCAGGGCAGGGGGACGCAGAGACGATGGGCCTGTGGAGCCCTCTGGGTGAACCTGGGTGCACCACCCCAGGGCATGGCTGCTCCTGAGGGGACACTTAGGCTCAGCCCTTGCCCAGAACACTGGGCCCAGCTGCTGGTAATCTGGCCAGGAAGAAGGGCGAGGCATGTTTGGGATCTCAGAGGCCCCAGTTAGTTGCTGGGCCAGCACAGGGCAGGCAGCACCCAGGCTCCACACCCTCCATCCCATAACCTGCAGCCTGACTGGGGCAGGACAGACGAGGAGACGGACTGTGGAGCTCCCTGACCTGGCTGCCCGGCCCGGTCCTCCTCTGTGCTCGGGCCTCCCTCATGCAGCCCGGCGATGGAGGGGTCGCTAGCGGGAGGCCTGACCCCGGGGGTCCCAGGCTTTCATCACCTGCAGGAGTGATGCCTGGGGCTGGCCTACTGTGGTGAATGAGGCTCTCTGCTCCACATTCAGGCTGACCACGCAGACAGGCTGGGGATGGAGGGACAGGCATGGCAGGATGTGGCCCATGAGCACCCAGCCGACTGGGCCTGGGCTCTGTGCAGCTGCAGCAGAGGAAGGAGGCCTGGCTGCCCCTTTGCAGTGCCCGTCACAATGGCTCTGGGGCACTCTGGGGATAGGTGGAGGGCAAGGCTGGATGGTGAGGCCAGCAGGGCCAGATTTGGGCTGGGCCAGAGGCCTCTCCACCTGCTCCAGGGAGCATCGTGCCCACCTCCAGGAGTGTGGATCCTGCACCTGTCTCAGTCTGTGGAGCTGCTGTGGTGGAGCTACAGGGCATTCACCTGCTCTGGAGCCTGAGTCGGCTGAGCTCCAGCTGCTCCTGGGGCAGCAAGAGGCCCAGGGCACACTAGGTGGCTGTGGCAGGGGTGCTATGAGTGGCCACCATCTGCAAGGGCTGCTTCTGCAGCCAGGGGCTTTCCTCCACCACGCCCCTCGGGGGCAACCACAATGTTCTCAGAGCAGGGCCCTCCAGCCAGGCTCAGTGGCCAGCGCCGAGGGACCAGGCTGCCTGCTGTTTATCTCAGCCCGGGCCTCTTCTCTGTTCAAGGCCCTGGATTCGAGATTAGACTTGCTTCCCAGGACACTGAGCTAGCCTTGTTCCTGCTCCCTCTGCCCAGGGACCCTGCATCAGCTCCTCTGTCCCATCACCCCCACTTGGGGTGAAGGGGAGCTGGGCCATGACCAGGGAGGCCCGAGAAACCTTGTCCTCACAACTGAGCTGTCCCCATCCAGTACCCAGCTCAAGGGTAGTGACCCCAGCAAGTGTGGGACAAGCTAGGATGGGCACCAAGGCATCCCTGGGGCCTCACTCGGGCTCCTCGGGGCCATTAGGCCACAGGCTGGCCCATGAGTCCCCTAGGACTTGGGACTCCTTGCCCTCATGGCCTCTGCCCCCTGAGGCCTCAGTGTCCCAGTGGAGCCCTGCTGCCCCGAGAGCCATCTGCCCAGATGACTTCAGCGCCCAGCAGCCTGAGGTGTCTGCTTCCCCCGGGGCCGTGGGTTCTCACGTGGACCACAATATGTGGAAACTCCTCCGCATTCTTCAGGATGTCCGCTGCCCTTCCGGCCGGCTCGACCTTGGCACTCAGGGGGACTGGCCTTCCGGAACGCACCCCAGGCGTGTGCGTTCCTCTCCGGTGACTCACGCTGCCTCCCCACCGCCCAGCACCACCCTGGCCCAGTGCCATCGTCTACTGCCCAGCCATGTCCTGCACATGTAGCATGGCACCTGAGGACGGTTCTGTGGCCAGGCTGCAGCACAGCTTCCGTGTGCTTGCACATGCCACATCCTGCCCGCGTGCACAGGCTGTCCCTGAGCCCTAGGCCTCGGTGGTCCTGCCCACGAGAGGACCCTACTCCCATCATGCAGCTCCCTGGCACACGTCCACCCCCAGTGCCATGGAGGTCAGGCACCCACAGCTCCACAAGATTCAGCCTCCTGGCCTAAGCTGGCTTCCTGAGGGCCCAGGTGGCAGATGGGGCCATTGCTCACCTGCGCAGTTGGCCCGTTTTCCTCGAGATACGATTTTCTGCCAAGGAAACTGGCAGTGCCGTCACTAGCAGCCGGCGCTCCCTGCCAGGCCTGCATGGCCTCCTGCCTGGCAGCACGTGGACCGTGGTGGCCCAGCTGCCCACAAGGCTGGCAGAGCTCAGCATGTGCAGAGGAGTCTGACCCCCCCCAAGCTGCCCAGGCTGGGCCTGGCGCCCAGCAGTGTCCCCTGTGTGTGCGCTCTTCCACCAACCACTTGTGGACAAGACAACAGTGTCGGGGCTTCTGGTCAGATTCACACACCTTGCACTTGCAGGCCATCACGGAGACACCCCTCCCGCCATCCGGGGACACTGGCCCGGGGCCCTGTCGATTTTGTTCCCTCTCCCCCTTCACATCCCCGTGGCTGTGAGGGCTGCTGATTCCTCTTAGTGTGATCAGGATCCACCATGCCTCTCCCACGCCCACCTAGGATCCCGTCCTGCCTGTCCCAGAACAAATTCGTCAGAAGTGCCACCTGCTGGTCCCTGCCCCGTGTCTGTGACCAGCTCTGACATGCCACTGCAAACTGTAGCGTGGGGTCACACACTGTGAGCCTTGAGCCTGGCTCCTATCCTTGGCGTCCCCTTGTGTGGCTAGGCCTGAGGGCCACACCCTCTGGCCCCTCCTTGACCACGGTGTGTGGTGGCTCCAAGCTGCGTGAACGCAGTTGCTCTGTGGACAACGGTCCCGCTTCTCTTGAGCAAATGCCAGTAGTTACGGACATCATAGCTGGGTCTGGTGCGGGTTGTGAACGGTCTCCCCACACTCTTACCTGCCGTGGCACACGCAGTGCACCTTCCCGCTGCTCTGGTTCTGAGCCATCCCACCGTGCCGGTCTGGGACGGTGGCTGGCCGGGATGGGGATCTTTCTTCATGGTTCGTTTGCATCTCCCCGACGGGCTGATGCTGAGCAGTTGCTCAGGTGCTCTGCGGAGTGCGGCCTGGGTCCTGCCCACGTGCAGACTGGCTTGTCTTCTGGGTGTATTTGCTGGGGCATCTTATGCGAGTGTTTTAATGCTCAAGATGCAGAGTTGTAAGAGGTGGGCAGTAAGCAGTGCTTCTGGGTCTGGGAGCTGCCTTATGGCTCTCACAGATGTCCTTGGTGGCACAGAAGTTATTGATTTAAGTCACACTGGCCAATCTCTTCCCTTATTCCTAGTGATTTTCATATCCCAATGAGGAATCTGCAAGGATCAAGAGACACAACTGTTCATACAAGTTCACCTGACAGCCTGTGATCTTGCTAAATGTACTCGCTAATTCTAACAGTTTTCTGTAGGTTTTTCCTACGTACAAGCTCACATCTGGACAAATCTGTTGGACTTCTTGCCTGACTGGGATCCCGGTGCGCTGAGGAAGTGACACCAACAGCTGCCCTGTTCTTGTTCTCAAAGTCAGAGGAAAAGACTTCCAGTTTCACCATTAAGTACGCTGCCTCGCGAGGTCGATGGATCTGACAGAAGGGCGGTGTGTGTACGTGTGCGAATATTACGACCGTTGATACGTGTGGATAATTCTAGTAAAAGTATGATGCCCTCGAGTAGCGGGCCCAAACTCAGTCTCCCCCAGGAGCTCCTGAGAACTGGGCAGCGTCGCTTGAGACAGCGACGCAGGCCGGGAAAAGGCGCGGAAGCCCCGCAGCTGGGTGTGTGGTGTGCAGCACCCTCGGCGAGGGCCCCTGAGAATCCACTTGGACATGAGCAGCACAGGGCACAGGGAGCTGCCCAGCACCAAGGCAGGGACCACCGAGACTGAGGGAAGAGTTACCAAGCTTCACACGAGGTGCGAACACCGAGCTCCCAAAGCTCGAGCTTTAAATACATCCTCCTCTGCAGGTGCTGATTGCGGCACGGGGCCCTCGCGGCCGCAGACCCACCCGCAGCTGGTGTTGGATTGCGTGCCATCCTGCTCTCACCAGAGAGGCTGAAAGGAAGTGCAAGGCTCGCTGCTCCCGGGAAACCTGCACACAGGACACAGCTCAGAGTCCAGGGAAGGCTCCCTGCGGGTCAGAGCCATGGTGCCTGCCACCAGGGAGGAAGGGTGGAGCCACACACAGAGAAGACCGGGTCACAGACAGACCGAGGAGCTGCATAGATCATGAGGTCACCGCACAGGAAAGTCACAGCCCAGCGAGTGGGAGAAGGGACATCACAGGAGTCCAGCGCAGGACCATCAGGGAGTATCAGGAGCGACTTTAAACCAGGAAGTGTGTGAAAGTGTAGAATAAACAGATGAGCTCGGTGAAACACAAACCACTAATGCACACTCAACAAAAAAGAGGGGGCCGGCTTAGTGGCGCGCCACCTGCCTGGCAAGTGCAAGGTTCTGAGTTTGATCCCCCATACCCCCCAAAAAAGAGGGACACTGGATAGCCCTATATTCAAGAAATCGAATCTGTAATTAAAATAACACCAGTTCCACAAAATCTCTTTCAGAAAACTGAGAAGCAAGGAATATTTCTAAACTCATTTTATGAAGCATGCATTATTCTGATGCCCAGAACAAACAAACATTACAAGAAAAGAAAATGAGAAACCTGTCACACACGTGCAGAAATTGCTCTCCTCTGGTACCGGGATTGAACCCCGGGGTGCTCTACTACTAAGCTGTATCCCAGGACCTTTTCATTTTTATTTTTCAATTTTGAGAAATGGTATGGTTAAGTTTCGTAGTCTGGCCTCAAACTTGTGATCCTCCTGTGTACCACTATACCTGGAGAGATGCGGAAATTCTTAACAAAAATAGGCAAACTGAATCCAAAAAAGGCATCCAAAAGATACTAAATCTGACAAGTTTATCCTAGGAGTGAGGACCGGTTTACCATTAGAAATGTTAGGTGACATAATTCACCACAATAATGGAGGAGTTTCCATTCACCTCTACCCTGGCACCCAAGAGTGGGCATCTGACTCAGCTAACAGCCACATGGACACGCTGCTGTCATGTAGTCTGCAGCCCACACGGGGGCCTGCTCTCGGGGCTGAGCATCCTGTGGGTCTGGACAAGAGTTCCTATGGTGTGTCCACCATCCTGTCATCATACGCCTGAAAGGTACTCGGTCCCCGCCTGCCCCCTGGCCTGGTTAAGCTTCGCTGCCCACTTGACTGGCCTTGGGCACAACTTCTGGGTATACCGGGGTGGGGTGCGGGGCGTGGCCATGGGTGCCACATCTGTCCCTGGCCCTTCCTCTCTGGCACTGTTCCCTGCTCTGCTCCTGGCTGCCATGAGGTGAGCTGCTTTCCTCATCCACCACCTTCTGCCATGATGCCCCTGCTTGGAGCAGCTGACCGTAGACTGAATCCTCTGAAACCACGAGCCAAATTAAAACTCCTCCTTCAAGTCCTGGGTGCTGAGCATTTTGTACCAGCAATAGGAAAGCCGTTTAATATACCATTCCTCCAAGCGCAGCCCCTGGCAACCTCTGCTCCTTTTACTATCTCCACAATTTTGTCTTTTCCAGAAGGTCACATAGTTGGAATCACACAGCATGCAGCCTTTTTGGACTGGCTTCCTTCACTTAGCAATATGTATTTGTTTCTTCTGTTTCTCAAGCCTTAGTAACTTATTTCCTTCACCTCACTTTCTTTTGAGATGGGGTCTTGTCATGTTGCCCTGGCGTCCCTGAACTTCTGGGTTCAAGCCACGCTCCTGCCTCAGCATCGCAGGTGCTGGGACTACAGACATGCATTTCATGCCTGGCTAAACCTCCCTTCTTTTCAGCGCCGAATAATATTCCTTGTCTTGATGGACACAGTATTTATCCACTCACCTCCTGAAGGACGTCTTGGTTGACCTCAGGTTTTGAGTAAACTGTGTGAATAAAGCTGTCGTAGACATCTGAGTGCAAGCGTCTGTGTGGACACAAGGTTCCAGCTCTGCTGGGTACATAAACGCCGAGTGCCGCTGCTGGGTCCTGTGGTGAGAGTGTGTGCAGGTTCTGAGGAGCGCGGCAGGCCACGTGCCATTCCCACCGCGGGGCTGAGAGCTCCTCATCACCTCCTCCTGGCGCCTGCGCTGCGGTCCTGTGCACTGGGGCCTTTCTGACATGCAAGTGGCAGCTTCTCACTGTTCTAACTTGCCTTTCTCTCATCTTATTTTCTTTGGTGAAGTGATGCCCAGTCTTTTGCCCCACTTTAAATTGGGTTATTCCATTTTCTACACTTGATCTTAGCCAAAAGGCCGAGAAACGATTTCCATTTTCTTATTGTTGTGTTTCAGGAGATCTTTGTTATTCTGAGTAACAGTCTTTTCTCAGATTTGTCTTCTGCAAACATTTTCTGGCAGCCTCACCCTGTCTTCTCATTTCCGACGAACTCTTTCGTACCCTGGTTGGCTGATTGCTAGCATTTCGGTTAGCATTTCAGCATCTGTGTCCATGAGGTATATCGGACTTTAATTTTCCCTTCTCCTAAGGTTCAGGATTGGTAATTGGCTCTAAAATAGCTCAATAAAGCACTCTTCCTTCGGCATCTGTTTTGGCAAATGGTGTCTTTCAAGAGTTGGGTCTATGATGTCTAAGTAGTCAAGTGCACATGCCGAGTTGCCCCCTGCACATGTCAGTGTCTGTAGTTCTGTGGCAATGGCACCTCCCCAGTCTGACATCGGTGATTTGGGCTTTGTGTCTTTCTTGGCAACCCCAGACAATTTCTGCCTGAATCTGTTATTTCCTTAGTAGTTGCAAAATGACGGTTTTCAATTTTACCGCCTTCTTTTCATTTATTACCTGGGGACAAACTGTTAGGAACTTTCCATTTCCCTTGGGCATCATATGAATTCATGGTTTTAAGAACACCAGGTCCCATGCTCTGGGGCCTTGTCATGCTCAGTGTATTCTCCACAGAGCCCGTGCTCCTTTCAGTCCAGAACGGTCTTTAAAACTCACAGTGTGGGAAAGAGTTTTTGCCCTCTGTTCCTCAAGCAAAGGATAAATATCTAGAATATATAAAGAACTAAAAAAGAAAAAAATCAGACATCCCCAAATTTGAAGACCCAATCCAAAAATAGGAATCTGAAACAAATAGACATTTCTCAGATGAAGAAGTAGAAACAGCAAATAAATACATGAAAGAATGTTCAACATCACTGGTCATTTGAGAGGCACAAATTAAAACAATACTGAGATTCACCTTGCTCCAGAAAGAATGGCTGCTATCAAAAAATTGAACAGGACCCAGGATTTGGCTCAGTGGCACTGCACCTGCCTGGCAAGCCCAAGGTCCTAAGTTCTATCTTCAGTACCAAAAAAAAAAGAAAAGAAAAAGAAAGAAAAG